CCTAAACCCTAAATCCGAAACCCAAGCTGTGCCTCCGGGTTGCTTCCAAGAGAGCTGAGGGCTTTGATGGTTTGTGAAGTCGGCAATTGCAGGTTGGTGCCTTTGATCTTCCGGATTCAGACTTCAGCCCCGATAAACTTGGACTTGGATATGGAGATGGGTGTTCTCTAAATTAGGGTAAAAGGGTCCCTGTTTATACGGGTGCCGTAGTATATTGGGGACCTAAAAGGGACCCCCCAATTTAGGAAACTGCCCCCATGGGATCTGTGTAAAAATTTTTTGCCCAGGCCCAAACCTGCAAATTCTGAGCCCAGGAGGTTTTAATCAGGTGGTAGAGCCCTGAAAGTCGTAAGTAGTTGGAGCCACAGATAGGAGTCCTTAAACCCTAAACGCCCTATAGGCCCTAAACCCCAAACTTCTAAACCCCAAGCCCTAAACCCTTAAAAGTCTGAGTGTCAAAACCTTTAAAAGAAAAGAGCCTAAGGCGTAATAACTGAAATGGTAGCTCCAGCCTCGAATCCCCAATCCCCACATCCTGGACCAGAACGGGTTTGTCGGGCTTTCCGTCAGCTAGGATTTTGGGTCTAGGCTTCAGGGTTTTGGCCGGGCGAGCTCCAATCAAGCCTGTGGAAAAGGGTTCAGGGTTCAGGGTTTATAGTAGACCGAAGAGGCTGCTGCGGTGGTTGGACCTTTAGGAAGATAATGGAAAAAGCATTGCTAGTATCCGCCGTTTAGCGTGAGGAAGACTACGGTCACCCGTAGCTCAGGATCACTCTCAGAGCATTTTTGTCAACAGAGCCCGATACCCTATGTTGACATCCAGCTACGAAGTCCTGCATGATTTTAAGCACGGTCTGGGGTTGAGGGTTGGAGAACCTGTCCCCAGATGCCTGCAAAACCGTAACCGCCCGAGCTCACGACGGCGCGTCCCTCGCTCACAGGAAAGAGGACCTCCCTGCTCACCTCTGCACACTTTCTCCTGCTTGGAGGAATTTCAAGTAGCCGAAGCCGACATGCAGGCGTTGATCGGGCAGCAGTTGCTCATCTGGAGTCCACACTGGGGCAAGCCCAGAGTGTTGCCAGCCCTGGTTGGAATTCCAGGTCCTGGGATGAAGAAGTCGACGCCTGTTGGCAGAAAGCACTGGCCGATGCATGTGGTGCAGTGGACGAGTCTGAGTCCGGCCATGCAAGACTTCATGGGCCGGAGACTGACAGAGCATGGTCTAGGGTGCAGCAACGGGAGATGGTTTTGGGTTCGGGGTACCAGGGTATTGGGATACCCCGGCCTTTAGGGTATCACCCTGAGGCTTAGCCTCGACTCAGGGCATTATGTGGCTCGGATATTCCACTGTCCTCTTTGCAGGTCACCTGTTCGGAGAAGGCGGAGAAGGTACCTTCTTTAGGCGATTCTTCTTGTTTTCCGGAGGGGACAACCCTGAACCCTTCCCTCGGAACTTCAGCCGAGTAAGGTACCTTCTTGCAGGGGTTCGTAATGAAGGGTTAGTGACTGGGGTACAAGGTTTGTTGTTTTCCTGAGTGGCCACGTAGTTTACGGTTTCCTGCTGGCTAAGGAAGTCCTCTCTGACGCCACCTTCCCTGCCCCCGTCGGGAGCTCGTGCTCGAAAGCCTCGTACCTTCCGCGGGCTCGGAAATCTGAATCTTCCTTTCTACTATAGGGTTTAGGGGTCCTGAAGTAGCCAGAGTACAGGCTTTCGGGTTCAGGCTGTTGTTTTCAACACTGAAGTTTCTGGTTAAGAGTTTCGCACTGCGTGTGGCCTGCTTACTCAGTTCCCCCTGCACCTTGAGGAGCCTTCTCAGCCCCAGGAAGCAGGACGAGAAAGCCAAGCTTTGAGGACTTACCTCTTGAACCGTAGGGCTTCGGATCATAGGTTTTAATGTGTCGGATCTTTGGGTTTAGGGTTTAGTAGTAGTGGTAGTAGTAGTAGTAGCAGCAGCAGCAGCAGCAGCAGTAGTAGTAGTAGCAGCAGCAGCAGTACTGGTATCTAGTTTGAGGGTCGAGGGAGAGCCTATCAACTTTGAAGCAGTTTCTGAAAAAGCAGAAAACTCGGAGGAAATCGGGGTTAAGGGTTCCGGGTTTTGGGGTTTCACGGGCGTCTTGCAACTTTGTCATATGTCGCAGCTGTAAGAAGGTAGACTCAAGGCTAGCCATGCACACCCAAACCAACCCTCGTTCAGAGCCTGGCATTGGGCTTTTAGGGCGTCTTACATCCGATGTTCCGTAGCTTTGGAGCTCGTGACCTGGTATTGATTGGTATGTTAAGAGCCTTAGTCAGGCTGTTAGGGTTTAGGGTGGCTAAGGGTTTAGGAGTTAGGGGTTTAGGGTTTAGGGATGAACTAGTCAAGCGGATCGCTTATGTAGAGCAGCTTCTTCGAAGGAAATCTGTCCTTCTCGGAAAGCACGCCGTCTCCTGGTGTTGTGTCTAGCAACTGTTTCCGCATCTTCTGCGCTCCGGATCCAGTTTAATGAAGTCAATAGTTTCAACTGCTGTGCTTGCAAAATCGTCAACACACCCAAAGCCTACACTTACACCTGTCCTAGCACCCGAGGTCAAATGACATCAGATGACACCCCAAACCTACACTCTATGTCCAAACCTCTGAAACCTAAACCCCTGTATAGTTCCCAAACCCTCACAACCCTTCTTGATACCCTTCAAACCTTTATCGAAACATTACAGAGAGCCTTGCAAACCCTTGCAGAACCCTGTTTTCCATTTTCCACCTAAACCCTAAACCCTAACAGAACCCTTTTTCCAGATTCCTCCAGAGCTTTTTTTTGGCTCGTCCTCGGGTCGTCCCTGCGGCCGTTGCCGCCGAGCCGAGGCCGGATCCTAAAGCTTCCTAGTGTGTTCCGAGCCGTAATATATACATATATCTATCTATCTATCTATCTATATATATATATATATATATATATTAATGTATTAGTGTATTATATGTTAATTTTCATATATATATATATACATACATATACATAGGTGGGGAAGGGTCTTACCCGGTCGTGTGTTTTCGGGAGTTGTTTCTGTTGATCCTATGGTTGTTCGTGGCCTTGTTTGCGTCAGTGGTGTCTGACCCGGATTTCCACGGGGGTTGGTGTCTAAAGGGATTGATAAATGGCTTCAATTGGGCTTATAAGCGCCTTTCGGCTTGAGGGCATCCGTTCGATGCGTCTCCAAGGTTTAGGGATTTCAGGTTTGAGGGTTTGAGGCTGAGCGTTTGGATGCCTGAATGGGTTTATTCCCGGGGTTGCTTTGACACTCAACCTCCGACCCGTCTCCCTCCCGCGAGACTGCCGACGCTTGCGACATGACCCGGAAAGCGCATTGCCACGTCACCGTGGCCTACGGGGTATGCGTCTTTGATGACAGAAGCCTCCGCGAGCATCCGAATGCGCAAGTCCCTGCCTAAGCATCGGACAAAGAGCAGTCTAAAGCCTATATATTATACACCAACACTAAAGTGTTACTCCTCACGCTCTCCAAAACGCTGTGAAAGCTGCATTGTCCACACTCTACAGCTCATATACCGGTTTCAGCTCGTAGGACCTTTACAGATCCCAGACTTCAGAAGGGTTGGCGTGTGCAGGCAATGCTCAACTACAAGACACCGGAATCTCGGCTGGTTTCGGGTGTGAGACCACATGAGTATCATAATAGGAACTATAAATGACTGTTGAAAGGTACTTGGACGCCAGAGTCCAAGCCTTCGAATCCTGTTCAACGTTGGTGAGGTTCTTACTCTGGTTTTAAAGAGAAGATGATCCTATATAATTAACCTGGAAGCCGGGCTAGTCGCCTCGATGTTGCGGACGTAGAGGAAGACCAGCAAGAAACGAGAAACGGGAATGCAGATCACCAATGAACAAAATCAGGTTTCTGTTTTTTTCTCTCGGTCGTCTCTCAGAGCTCTTTGGTCATAGGGTTACCTGTAGACTCCATTGCAGTTACTTTTTTGTGAGTTGTATTTAGGTAATCCCGAAAACTGGAGACTTTGGCGAATGTAGAAACTCGATCCGACTGGTATCGTTTACGGCCGTTAGGGCCCAGGAGCAACGTGGAACTCAGGGGTGTTGGGTTGGGCTGCTCGCTTCTGAATGAGGAGCCTTTGATGTACAGCAGCATGATTGTTGCACCAAGTGTTATAGAACCGTGGAGCCTGGAAGCTTGGAAATCTAATGTGCTGGCCAATTGGGAAAAACAGCTCCGAAAGCACAGAGCTGGCTTACATGGACATACCCGCGCCCCCTCGTAATGAGTTTGGGTGTGTGGAGTGCGTCCGATTGTTTGAGTGCCACATTGCTCCTTGAGCATTGTCATTGCTGGGCAGCAACGTGCTTCCTCTCTTGATGTTGTAGAAGAAGTGCAAGGCTGTACTCGTATAATGCAGACTTGTTCTCGGCATGAAGTGTTCTTGTCGCAACCACAGCATAAACTCCGACTGCCGATGCCAGGAATGTCATAAAGTTGGCACTTGGCTGAACAACTTCTCGGAGCACAAGCGATGCTTGGTGGGGATTAGGGGAATACCTGGAGGTACATTGATTTCTCCTGTCACATTCCCGATTCTCTGTGTGGTACCGCTATAGAAGCCCAAACTTCGAATTTGCAATTAAATTGCAACGTGGTGGTCTCAATAATTGCAAAGTGCCGCCTCGTAGTCCATGTATTCTTTCACCTCAAAATACCTTTTGGGCATGCTCACTTCCCCCAAACTCTACACAGAGCTTTCTTGCTATGAAAGTATGAAAGCTAGGCCTGTATGTCGACGTGTGACAGCCTCCTCACACCTCAAGCCTACAACCTAAATCCCAAAAACACTCAGGATTTGTGTCGCACAAGATTGGCAATGACACTCGCTGGAAGAGCCTCACATGCACTGTGTAGCTACGGTTCGTCTCGGGCAGTCTGTGGTTTATTTTTGGGGGCCCACAGGGTTTAGAGATTCGCATCAGGGCAAGTTTGGATGGCAAGTTTCTGGCTACTGCGTGGTCTTAGGTTTCGTATATACATGTTCGGCAGGGGCCTTAAGGTTGTGGATTTGCGGATCAACTGGTTGTTCAGCGCGTTATGGCTGGGGCTCAGGATCTGCGTATGGGTTCAGAGTTCAAGCCCTCGGGACCCCGGAGCCCGAATCTTAGTTCCTCGGTCACGAAGCCTGCGGTTTAGGATCCCAGCCTCCGCATACTGGGTTCTGAGGTTCTGCCTTGAGTAGCCAAACTACAAGGTCACCTTGCCAGCTGAATGTGTTGAGTGAGGTTAGGATCACGTGATATCTGCTGAGGTGCCACAAGGAACAACGAATAGCTGAATAGCTGAATCTACATGAGCTAATAGGCATGCTTGGGTTGCCCTAAGCTAGGCCTGACATCTCAAATCCCAAGCCCTTAAGCCTCACTCTACTCTGATACCCTGAATCCTACGTGCTTTGCCCTGTAATAATCCCAAACCGAAATTTTACGTATTTCCGAAGTTGGGAAGAAGATCCTTGACCACCAACGGTCAGCACAAAACAGCACCAAACACAAAGCAACAGGAAGGAAGGCCAAACCTAAACCCCAACCCCCCCCCCAAAA